TGAATTTCTGGTAGAATTCTGCAGTGAAGCCTCTGGCCCTAGGCTTTTTTTTGGTTGGGAGGCTTTTGATGACTGCTTCTGTTTCATTAGTTTAGTGGTTATAGGTCGATTTAAACTGTTTATCTGATCTTGGTTTAATTTTGGTAAGTGATATTTATCCAGAAAGCTGACCATTTCCTTTAGATTTTCCAATTTTGTGGAGTACAGGTTTTCAAAGTATGACCTGAAGATTCTCTGGATTTCCTCAGTGTTCGTTGTTATATCCCCCTTTTCATTTCTGATTTTGTTAATTAACATGCTCTCTCTCTGCCTTTTGGTTAGTTTGGCTAGAGGTTTGTCTATCTTATTGATCTTCTCAAAGAACCAACTCTTTGTTTCATTGATTCTTTGTACTGTTTTCCTAGTTTCTACTTTGCTGATTTCGGCTCTCAGGTTGATTATTTCCTGGCGTCTACTCCTCCTTGGTGTGTTTGCTTCTTTTTGCTCTAAAGCTTTCAGTTGTTCTGTCAATTCTCTAATGTGAGATAAATTTTTTAAAAAGATTTATTACACACACACACACACACACTCACTGTTCTAACCACATGTATCCCTGCAGGCCAGGAGAGGGCACCAGATCTCATTATAGATGGTTGTGAGCCACCATGTGGTTGCTGGGAATTGAACTCAGAACCTCTGGAAGAGCATCTTAACCTCTGAGCCATCTCTCCAGCCCAGATTAATCACATAAAATCCCGAGGTCAGCAGTAGAAGGTATTCTACTTAGGCTCCTTCTAGCTGCCCACCCTTTCAGCACTACAGTGTGGCCCTAATGTCAAAGTCTAGAAAGATGAACATTTGGGATGGTGCAATAGGTGGATCAGTGGATAGGGGTGTGACTTGCCCTGAAAACTTGGTTACCTAAGTTTGACCCCTGGCTTTCCCAATGGAGAGAGAGAATAGGTTCCCAAGGGTTGTCTTCTGACCTCCATATGAATTCTCTTGCACATGCATGCTCATACTTATTCACACACCCATCATTACACATACACACAATAATATTTATTTATTCATTTAGATTTTTTTTGAGACAGGGTCTCTACATAATCCTGGGTGTCCTGGAACTTATTATGTAGACCAGTGTAGCCTGGAACTCACAGAGCTCTGCTTGCTTCTGCTCCACCCCCCAGTGCTCGGAATAAAGGTATGCAACTCCACGCCCAGCTCATATCAATATCTGTAAGAGATGAGCCTAAGCTGAAGAGATAGCCTATTGTTAAGAGTGTTTACTTTGGGAGCTGGAGAGATGGCTCAGAGGTTAAGAGCACTGACTGCTCTTCCAGAGGTCCTGAGTTCAATTCCCAGCAACCACATGGTGCTCACAACCATCTATAATGAGATCTGGTGCCCTCTTCCGGTGTGCAAGCATACATGCAGACAGAACACTGTATATATAATAAACAAATACTAAAAAAAAAAAAAAAAAAAGAGTGTTTACTGCCCTTGCAGAGGGCCAGAATGAAGTTTACAGCACCCATGGCAGGCAGCTCAACTACCAGCCCTAGGGGGATCTAACACCTTTGGCTTCTGTGGGTCCTGGCACTTATATGTACACAATTTAAAGGCATGTGCCACTACACCTGGCCTGAGTTAGGTATACTTAAGCTGGGTTAAGAATAACCTATTTATGGCTGGTTAGATGGCTCAGAAGTTAAGAGCATTTGTGCCTACTGAGGGTTCAATTCTTGGTGGTTCACAACCATCCATAATTTCAGTTCTAGGGCATCAAGTGCCCTCTTTTACCTCTACAGGTACCATGCATGCACATGGTGAACATATATGTAGGCAAAATACACAAACATAAAATTAGTAGGTTGGGCATGGTGACATACATTCAATTCCAGCATTTGGAATGCAGAGGCAGGAGGCTCTCTGAATTTGAAGCCAGCCTGGTCTACATATGGAGTTCTAGGACAGCCAAGACTAATAGATAGTGCTCCCCAAAATGAACAAACAAGCAATAAATAAAATGGTATTTCTATCATGGAGTCAGTTGTGCTAAGGTCTGGGGGCCTATTAAGTTCTAGGGCCCTGTTACAAAGCCCCTACTGCTTTTTCAGAGGACCCCCCCCAAGTTCAGTTCCCAGTATGTTGGGCAGCTTACAACTGCTTGTAACTCCAGCTCAAGGGAAATCTAATACTTCTGACTTCCATGGGCACTGCACTCAAGCAGATATACCCATATGTGCACACATACATATAACTAAAATAATAAAATGAAATCTTAAAAAAAAATCTATTTGCAATTTCCATGAGATCAAATCCTGAGAGTTGTTGTTTATGAGAGACTGTACTTGCTTTGGATTTCATAAAAAAAAGGTATAATGCTGAATTATTCTCAATAGCCAGAAATTGGGACCAACCTAGCCATCTATAAGTAGATAAAGAGAAAAAGAAGGCCCGGGCAGTAGTGTTACACGCTTTTATTCCCAGCACTCAGGAGGCAGAGGCCAGCCTGGTCTACAGAGTGAGTTCCAAGACAGCCAGGGCTACACTGAGGAACCCTGTCTGGAAAAATCAAAAAAGAAAAGAAAAGAAAAAAATATATAGTGGAATTTTTCATAGTCATAAATAAAAATTAAATAATGATGTTTAAGCTAGGCATAGTGGTGCTCACTTGTAATCTTAGCACTGGGAAAGAGATGCAGGATGATTAAGGCTACCCTGGGCTACATTTCAAAAACCAAAATAAGCAAACAATGTCAACCAAAAAACCAAAACATGACCAAGGTGTTTGACCAGATACAAAGAAGTTTATATTTTACAATGATTGCCTTGATAACTTCAAAGTAAATTTTGTTATCCCTATTTTACAAATGAAGGAACCAGGACTCAGAATAGTTAAAGACTTAAATCTTACAGTCAGTAGGCAAAAGAAGGGCTGAAGATATAGCTCATTAGCATAGTACTTGCCTAGCATGCAAGAAGCTTGATCTCCAGCACTGACAAAACAGTAAATAAACAGTAGGAGCTAGGCATGAAGACAGGTCTCTGGTTTTGGTCCCTAAACATGAATAAAAGGATATAGAGGTGGACTTGGTACTTACTTGCCAACGTATAACTGATAAAGTTACCAGTAAGATTGCTCAGGGAGGGAAAAGAGAAGGGCAAATCTTGAAAATATGCTTGCTTTCAATGGTTGAGGAAATTCGGCCAGTAAAGTGAAGTTTGTACAGACAGGAAATGACCCCAGCGGGTAGAATACTGTGGAAGCCAACAAAGCAGATTCATGGAAACCTTGGAAAGGGGGTAATACTCAACAGGTATAGATGGGAGAAGACTCACTGTCAAATAACCATGCTGTCATTTGATACAGTAGGCCCTAATGATATTTGGTTGTGGTTCTTAGTCACTTTTCTATTGCTTTGAAGAGACACCATGACCAAGGCAGCTATTGTAAACGACAGCAACAATTGGGACTTGCTTACAGAATCATAATGGCAGAGAGAATGGTGACTGGCAGTGTGGTGCCAGAGAAGTAGCCAAGGGCTACATCCTGATTACAAGCAGAGAGAAACTGGGTCTGGTGTGAACTTTTGAACCTTCAAAGCCACACCTTCTGATTCTTCTAATCCTTTCAAACAGTGCTACTCCCTGGTGACTAAGCATTCAAATATACGAGCCTACGGGGACCATTCTTAGTCAAACCACCACAGTTAGTTACCAAGCACCTGAGGAATGAAATTTTATTTCATAACATTTTAATCAGCTACATGTTGCTAACGGGTTGGACAGCATAGGTAGGTATAAAGGTTTGGCTGGGTGTGGACTAAAAGTTGTTGAATTGGCAATGGTTTTTGTTTTTGTAGACAGGGTTTCTCAGTGTAGTCCTGGCTGTCCTGGAACTTGTTCTGTAGGCCAGGCTGGCCTCAACTCAGAGATCTGCCTGTCTCTGGAGTTTGTTTGGAGTAAAAGCTGGCACCACCATACCCAGCTCATTAATGACCTTTAAAATTTTTTTTTCAAGATTTTGTTTTTGATTATTTTTGTGTGTGTGCACATGTAAGTACAGGTGCCTAATGGAGGCCAGAAGAGAATGTCAAATCTCCTAATCTAGCCTGTAAGGCACCCAACATGGGTCTCTGGGAGAGCAGTATGGGCTTTTAAGCTCTGAGCTATCTTACTAGCTCTTATTTTTTTTTTTTAAAGAGTTTGTTTTTATTTCTGTGTGTGTGCACATGCACATCCATGTTGCTTCCCACAGAGGCCAGAAGAGGGCATTCGATTGAGTTATATGTACTTCTAAGCTGACTATTGTAGGTAGGAGCTGAATTCTGGTTTTCTATAAAGCAGGAAGTGCTCTTAACTCCTGAGCCATCTCTCCTGGCTTTATGAACCTTTCTTATTGTTCTGTGTGATGTACTCTACCTTCCTTTGAAGACTTGTACCTTTACAGGCTGTAGGAGAGCTGCTAAAGAGCCACTGGGGACATGTCAGACAGGACAGCATGATCCCAATTTACTTTCTCTTTTAAAAACAAGCAGACTTTTCTTAGAAATTTCTAGCAAACCTCTCCTTGTATATCAAATTGGCCAAAATGCTGGGCGGTGGTGGCGCATGCCTTTAGTCCCAGCACTCGGGAGGCAGAGGCAGGTGGATCTCTGTGAGTTCGAGACCAGCCTGGTCTACAAGAGCTAGTTCCAGGTCAGCCTCCAAAGCCACAGAGAAACCCTGTCTCGAAAAACAAACAAACAAACAAACAAACAAATAAACAAAAAAATTGGCCAAAATACTTAAAGGGGCTTAAGTTCCTCTCAAGCCAGATAGGTTCACTTGAAGGCAGGTCTGTTTCTATACTGCACCACTGCCCCTGTTCTGAAGGAAGGAAGAATGGATGTTGGGAAGTCTACTTCATTGTTCATCTCTGTTCATGGTTGGGGTGAGATTGTTGTGTGTTTAGGTGTTGAACTCCCAATCCTACCTATATTTCCCAAGTGCTGGGATTATGGGCATGTATCACCATTCCGATACATTTCCAGTTGAATTTGATTTGGCAGATATAGTGGGAAAGGTTCAGGCTTGCCTGTGAAGGTTGGAGAGAATCATGTGGGTTAAGAAAGGGGGTATGGCTAGGAGAATAAAGTGGTCTACTTTGTGGAGGGTCCCATGTATCATAAGGAAATACAGGCTGTGCTTTTAGTGTGGGTCAGTTCTGAAAATGAAGGTGGTTTGGCCACACTTTAGCTATCTTATCTCTAGAGACTTAAGCACATTTTCCCAGGCTTGTGGGACAGCTCCACTCTTGGAATGTTTAGTAAGGACAGTGACACCTAATGCCTTTACTAAGTAGTGCAAGATTATTTCATTTCCAGTTAGTGGGCATGAAATGGGAACTTGTAAATAGTACCTTGAATTTAAACTTTTTTGTGTGTGTGCAAATGGGGGCTATTAAGAGGGTTTCACTTTATAGCTCAGGCGTCTAACTCATGATGATTCTCCTGCCTTACTATCTTGAATTCTAGAATTAGAAATGAGCTAACCACGTCTGGCTGAATTTCATCCTTTTATGTTGACTTTCATGGCACACATTTGGAGACTAAAACATGTTTAGGGTCAAATTATGGGACCAGAGCCAGGTACTGTCTTGCTAGCTATGAGTCCTTCAGTGGTAAGTAGGTTTTTGTTTGGTTTTTAGAACATTGCTATTTTTCCCTCCCTATCACCTCTCCTTTCACCCTTCTCTGACTTACAGGTTTTTAAGCCAATGGCTGATGCTGCTGTGAAGATTGTGGAGAAAAATGGCTTCAGTGATAAGATTAAAGTTATTAACAAACATTCCACTGAGGTGACGGTTGGACCAGGTGAGAGCTTTACCTCCTGTGTGAGAAGCTGTGTGTGAAAAGTAGAGCTAATGAAATGTCACAGCAGTCACACACAGGGAAGAAACGTTTTGCTTTTAGCAAATTTAAGGTAGTAAGAAAAGTTTTTATAGTCAGGTGTTTGAAACTTAGAACATTCTACATGCTCTTTGAAACTTGAAGAGCACAGTTAAAACATTTGGGGAAGGGGAAGAAGGACAAGCTTTTCTTTATGGCCATTACTAATTTTTAAGATGTAGCATTTTAGGATTGAAGGATCTACTTAAACTTAGTATTTTATAAGTTTAATTTTGTCATTATCATCATCAGGCTCTAATACAGTCCAGGGTGATCTTGAATTCATTTGTAGCTGAAGTTGGCCTTGGTCCTCCTGGGTACTGAAATTACGACAGATTAACAGATCACCATACCTGGATTTTTTTTTTTCCTCACATTAAAAAAAAAATTACTTTGGGGATGGGGATGTAGCCACTGGTTGAGTACTTGGGTGCCTAAGTTCAGGATTTGATCCCTGAGATCCTAAAGCTAGGTATGGGTAATCCCAAGCATTTGGGAAGATGAGGTAGAAGGAAAGTCATGGATTTCAAGTCAGTCTGGACTACATAGCAATACCTCTTTTTTGTTGTTGTTTTGTTTTGTTTTTCAAAACAGGGTTTCTCTGTGTAACAGCCCTGGCTGTCCTGGAACTCACTTTGTAGGCCAGGCTGGCCTGGAACTCTTAAAGATCTGCTTGCCTCTGCCTCCCTAGTGCTGGAATTAAAGGTGTGCGCCACCACCGCCCAACATTAGTCCCCCATCTTAAAGGTGACTTGCTGAGGTGTTTGTTTTATTGAAACAGAGTCTCTTTATGTAGCCCAGGCTAGCTTAAGACACACTGGCCTCCTGCTTCTGCCTCCCAGGTGATGGGGCTACAGGTGTGCACTGCCATATCCTATCCCAAGTGGCCTCCTATTGCCAAATCAGATGTCTTCTCTGTTTCCCCCTCTTTAGATGCCACAGTGTGGTGCTTATTCATTCCATCTTTCCTGAAACTCTTTCCAGTTCCCAGTGATGTTTCCTAATTTTGGTTCTCCTTTTTCACTTTTGTTTTGTTTTTGTTTTTGTTTTTGTTTTTTTTTTTTTGAGAAAGGCTCTGCTCTGTAGCCTGGGTAGCCTGGTACTTACCACGTATGGCTTGTTGAATGTTAGGATTAGAGTGGCATTTAGAGAGGGGGAAAGAGAGAAGACTTCCTCTTGGAAATGGGGAGGTCATTTATGGTAGGATATGGCAGTGCACACCTGTTACCATCGTTACTTTATCACTTTCTTTCTAATTCCAAATGTGGAGTTCCCTAAGGGTCTGTTCTGAGGCCTTAAAATTAGTATCTATGTTTGGAGCCTGTTCCTCAGATGGATTACCCTGAGTATGTGTGGCAACAGTTGTTCAATTATCCATTGCATTCATGTGATAAATTAGGACACACCTGGTATAATTAGCCTTTCTTTAGGCTCTTCTACACCACTCCCTCATAAATTCACATTCACTTGATGAATACCAAGTGCTAAGAAGTATTTATTAAAATTCACTGGGTCATAAAGCTTTGTTTTTATTTTAATGAACAGACTTGGTTGGTAAATCATTTTAAGGTAAATCATCACCTTAAAATTTATTTAGGAGGTAGAATTGTCCAGGTTTGATGATGATTGACAGGGAAGCATCAAGAATTCAGTTAGTGTTTGTTGACTCTTACTGGTTGTAAGGCATTGTTCTAGTCATTGAGGTATGGTGACTAGGGCAGTCCTAGACCTGACAAATGATGCTCTTTCTGTGCAGTGTGATGGGGCTGTTCACTAAGGCAGAAGCTATCGAGTGTGTGGTAGTGGGGAGAGGTCAAGGTGGAATAGTGTGTTCCAGCCGGAATTTAACATATTAAAGAGAATGGACAGTTTCTAATTCAGGTGATGGAGTTTGCTCTTAACTTCCATTTGCTTATACTTAGCTTCCACTTTACTAGATGTATAAGTAAAATGGGCACATTGAGCCCGTGTATGTGTCATAGGAAATGTACTTTTCTAATCTTTGTTCTGTCCCTTGTTTTACAGTTGAGGTGACTAGCTTGATGTTTAGAGCTCAGACCTCCAGGCTAGAAAGTGGTCTATAGGACTCCAGGCTCAATCATTTTACTGCTCTCAACCTCTCTAAACCACTTTAATGTGTCTCTTTTTCAGTGTCAGCTATGAAATTTGTCCTCTGTAAAGGGAAGATGAGTGGGCTTTGTCTAATGTAATTCATGAGCCATTAGAAATGTTTACAGTTAATTCTCCATGATAAATAACTCTTTCCAAGGTCTATTGGCTCGTTAAAAATTATAATTGTAGCAGTAATGTTATGTTTTAGAGGTTTAGAAAACAGTTGGCAAAAGAATGCTTCAAAACCCAGAAGAGGGTGTCAGATCTCCTGGAGCCAGAGTTAACAGGGGTTCTGAGTTGCCTGATATGGATGCTGAGAACTGAGCTTTGGTCTCTGCAAGAGCAGCACATGCTATTACCACTGAGTCATTTCTCTAGCCCCTACTTTTTTTTTTCAAGACAGGGATTCTATGTGGCTTTGAGGGCTGTCCTGGAACTAGCTCTTGTAGCCCGGGCTGGTCTCGAACTCCCCTGCCTCTGCCTCCCGAGTGCTGGGATTAAAGGCGTGGGCCATCACCATCCAGCTAGCCCCTACTTTTTGATGTGGTATCTTCAACATATTTGTCATGAATATATTTCCTAGTCTATTGCATATTTTCAGATGGTGACTTGCCATGTCGTGCTAACATCCTGGTCACAGAGCTGTTTGACACGGAACTGATTGGGGAGGGGGCACTGCCCTCTTATGAGCATGCGCATAGACATCTTGTGCAGGTGAGTGGCTCAGAGCCTTTGGGGTGTTATGATTGGAGCTGTTGTACACAGTCACTGCTACACCATGCTCTGTACAGCCCTTCAGAATTTATCCCTATGCCTGGGCCTCCCTTCAGTTCCTGACAGGCATCTAGATCCGGTGGCATTTCTGGGTTTTCATGGCCTGGTGATGGACGAAGAATAAAAGGATGAATGAGGTAGGAGGTCAAGGAGGTAGAACAGCCAGGTATGTGAGGGGGACCCTGCAGGTATTCATGCAGGTAGTGATCTGTGAAGAAATGGGAGTGCTTCTGCCTTACTCAGTAACTTCACACTCAAATGAAAACAAGTTCTCTTCATCCTGTTTTCTTTAGGGGAACTGGAGCCCTTTGGACAAGGTGCAAATCAGTAGAGGATATAGGCACTGAGCCTGCAGAAGTGAGCAGCTGCTGTCCACAAGTTTGCCAGCTTGTGGTCTTGTCTGCTCTCACACAAGAATAGACAACTACCCTTACAAAAGTAGATGCCTCTCTTGTGTGATCCATGCTCACCTGGGGCAACTGGGGATTTTTCTGAGGGTTATGTTTGTATGGAGATTCCACCATAGGCCAATTTCTGTTCTTTGTTTAAACTTGAGAGGGCAAGCAGTAGATGTGCTGTCTTACATCTGTTACATATATGACACTGCCAGTAATTCTGTGCCATTTGAGGATTGGCTTCCTCTCTAGGATTTGCTGAACCCTATCCAACTCATTCTTCCATCTGTGATCAGGGAGCATCTTAACCAAGGACAATAATGTCTGGTGACATGATGTGCCTTTTTAAAATTATGCATAATGATAGGTTTTATTATAACATCGTATACATGTACATATGTATCTCATATTTGTGCCCTCATTACCCTCTCTTGTCCCTTCACCCTTCTGGGTTTTCTTATTTTTTATTTTTTACTTTCCAATCCCAGTTTCCCTCCTTCCTCTTTTCACACTCTCCCCTCCTTCAGTTTTTTTTTTTTTTAAGATTTTTTTTTTTATGTACACACCATTCTGCTTCCATGTATATCTGCCAACCAGAAGAGGGGACCAGATCTCATAACGGATGGTTGTGAGCCACCATGTGGTTGCTGGGAATTGAACTCAGGACCTCTGGAAGAATAGTCGGTGCTCTTAACCTCTGAGCCATTTCTCCAGCCCAGTTTTTTTTTATTTTATATACCAATTCCCTCTCCTCCTTTAGCTCCCACCCTCCCCCATCCGTTCCTCAGAGAGGGTGCGACCTCCTATGGGGACTCAACAAAATCTGTCAAATCACATTGAGGCAGGATGAAAGCCCTCCCCCCTGTATCTAGGCTGAGCAAGGTATCCCTCCATAGGGAATGGGCGCCCAAAAGCCAGTTCATGCACTAGGGATAAATCCTGGTCCCAGTGCCAATGGCCCCATAAACTGCCCAAGCCACATAACAGTCACCCACATTCAGAGGGTCTAGTTTGGTCCTATGCAGGTTCCCCAGCTGTCAGTCTGGTGTCAGTGAGCTCCCACTAGCTCCAGTCAGCTGTTTCTATGGGTTTTCCCATCATGGTCTTGACCCCTTTGCTCATATTATCACTCCTCCCTCTCTTTGACTGGATTCTGGGAGCTAGGCCTAGTGCTTAGCTGTGGATCTCTGCATCTGCTTCCATCGGTTACTGGATGAAGGTTCTATGATAACAATTAAGGTTATCATCAATCTGATTACAAGGATAGGCCAGTTTAGGCACCCTCTCCACTGTTGCTTAGAGTCTTAGCTGGGGTCATCCTTGTGGATTCTTGTTTCTTTCTGGGTCTGGGTTACCTCACTCAGGACTAATCCATATTTTTAAATCTACATTCAATAGCATGGCTTTGATAACCTCATCTCTCTGTAGTGCCCATCCTCTTTTCTCTGTGCTGGCTGGGCAACTCCACCTTTCTTCCCAGAGTACTGTCTGTTCCTGGAACTCTCACCTGGCCTCTTCCTGCCTAACTATTGGCCATTCAGCTCTTTATTAAACCAATCAGAAGGTGCCTTGGCCAAAAACACAGCTTCACAGTGTAAACAAATATTCTGTCTGCAACAAATATTAAAGCCTTTGACAAGTGTGAGTCATTGTAGATCAGGTACCTGACTTACTGTTATTGTTGTTGGTTTGTTTTGATATAAACTTAGGAAAATTGTGAAGCAGTGCCTCACAAAGCAACTGTCTATGCCCAGCTGGTGGAGTCCAGAAGGATGTGGTCATGGAACAAGCTGTTTCCTGTCCATGTTCAGACCAGTCTTGGAGAGCAGGTTATCGTCCCTCCCTCAGAACTGGAGAGGTGTCCTGGTGCACCTTCAGTCTATGACATTCAGCTGAATCAGGTGCCATCTACTGACTTCACTGCCCTCAGTGATGTACTACCAATGTTCAGGTACCATGGGACTTCCTGGGTGGCACTGCTTTGAGACATTTAATCAGATTTCTTCTTTTGTGGAATGGAAATCTAGCTGAATCTCTCCACATCAGTACCATTGTTGATCAGGTCTCTGTAGAAGTTTAACAGTGGAGTGTGTGAATTAAACTGTGCTCCAGCTTCTGAATATTATTCCACAGTGTGGACTTCAGCAAGCAAGTCAGTAGCTCAGCAGCCTGCCATAGCAAGCAGTTTGTACCTCTGGCATCTGGCCAAGCACAGGTGGTTCTGTCCTGGTGGGACATTGAAATGGACCCTGAGGGGAAGATCACATGTACCATGGCACCCTTTTGGGCACAGACAAACCCACAGGAGCTTCAGGTAAGAGGCAGGAGCTAAGCACATTTCATATAAGTCAAGAAACTTTTTCTTTCTTTTTACCTCTAGATTACTTTATCAGTTAAAGGCAAAGAAGGAGTTTTCTTTTGGGAAAACACACATGGACACACACAAGCACAAGGGACTGGGGATGTGGCTCAGTGATAGAGCACTTTCCTAGCATGAGTCCCTATACTATACCCCCAGCACTACAAAGAAACATGATAATAACCAATAAAAACTAGAAAGCATACCAGGCAGTGGTGGTGCACACCTTTAATCCCAGCACTCAGAGGCAGAGGCAGGAGGATGAGAAACCCTGTCTAAAAAAAGCAAGCAAGCAAGCAAACAGAAGCAGAGCCTCCAGTGTGTAGGTAGACCTCTCCTCTCTGGGTGAGTTCATGATTGACACCAGTGGCCAGTGAGCAACAGAAGTCTTTTTTTGGGGTGCGTGGGTGGGTTCGATACAGGGTTTCTCTGTGGCTTTGGAGGCTGTCTTGGAACTTGCTCTGTAGACCAGGCTAGTCTCGAACTCACAGAGATCCACCTGCCTCTGCCTCCTGAGTGCTGGGACTAAAAGTGTGTGCCACCACCACTGCCCGGTGAGCATCAGAAGTCTTAATGGATTATTAATTCTGCTATTCTCTTTTGTCCTGGCATAACCCTTTACTTCACAACCTTCTGCCATAAGTAATCCAGAGGGCTTAGGTCAACTTGGAATAGAGAACTACAACTTCGCTTCCTTTGGTTCAAAATCCACCTTTTCCAGCTCAGGGAAAATGAGCAGAGGAATGTGAACTACAACATGCAAATATAGATCACTATTCAGCATATGATAAGTTTTTACCTTTAAACTGCTATGAAATAAAAACATATATGAACTGCAATGAAATACTATCTTTACTCATTAGTAAATAAAATTCAGAAAGTTTGGTGACACACTGTTGGTAAAGCTTGACTGTAAACTGTTCACTCATGGAACACAGCATAATAGCTCAGTCCAACATGATAGAAAGTGATAGATGTTGGAGCCCTGGGCACTTTTGCTTAAATCACAGATGCAGAGTGACTCACATGTAGGATAATCATATCTTTAATAGAAAAAGAACAACAGAAAGGCCACTTGTAAGGACTCAAGACATCCTGTGTCTTTCAGTGAACAAAGTAGCTCCATTGCAGAGTGGTCAGTGTATATGTATTTATTAATATTAGTATTGTTTTCTTAGAGTCTGAGGGTTAGAGCAGTGGTTCTCAACGCTCAGTGTTTCTGATGCTGTGACCCCCTTAATACAGTTCTTCATTTGTGGTGACCCCCCAGTCATAAAATTGTTTTCATTGCTACTTCATAACTAATTTTGCTACTGTTCTGAATTGTAATGTAAATATCTGATATGCAGATGGTCTTAGGTGTGGGTCAGTCAGTGCATGCCAACTTCCCTCTGCAATCTTGATTCTCATGGGTTGAGATTTCAAAAATGGAATATTAATACATTTTAGTTGCATGTCTTTAGAGTGCTACAGTGTCTGTTTCTCCTTGAACCTACACATAAATATACCAGGGAACTGTAGGAATGCCCAGAGTGCAGGCTCTTGTGTCCAGGAAGTGGAAGGGTATGTGTGGATCCCAGGTCTTCTCAGAGTGCATCCTGTGCCCCATCTAGACCACTGATGACTTTTATAGTATTAGGAATTTGAAGGCTAAAGGAATCTCCCTGATGAACTCACAAAACCACTTTGATCCCATTTAGCCTGCCTTACTTGGGACAGAGGTTCTGTCACTGGCTCTTTAGCATCAGAACTCAGAAGTCTCCTTGTATAGGGCTTATGGGAGGGGCAGATGTTAGGGAAGCACCCCAGAGCACTGGTATTCCTCCAGTACAGGAAGGAATAACAGGGACAACATAACCTGTTTATCCTTTGTTACTGTATATGTGGCCTTTGGACTTTTACTTTTTATTAGCCTTTATATTTGAATAAACATCTTCAGTACCTGCCTTTTTGATAAATTCAGGACCAAGTGAGTGAGCTATGTCCCAGCAAGTAGAACAAGCTTTTTCTTCATTTGCCTATATGCTATTGGAGTCTGACAAAAGCCTAGTTTCCTTGGTTCCTGGAAATAGCAATAAACAGGTGATCATCCCATCAGAGTTGAACCAGGTTTTTTCTTTCTTTCGTTCTTTCTTTCTTTCTTTCCTTCTTTTTTTTTTTTTTTTTTTTTTTTTTTGAGAAGTTCTTGCTATATAGCAAGGTGGCCCAAACTCCTAAGGTAACCAGGCTGGCCTCAAACTCATGATCCTCCTTCCTCATCTTCCTCAGTGTTGGAATTACAGGCTTTTGCTTTTTTTTTTTTTTTTTTTGAGACAGAGTTTCTCTGTGTAACAACAGCCCTGGCAGTCTTGGAACTTGCTCTGTAGACCAGGTTGGCCTCTAACTCACAAGAGATCCACCTGCCTCTGCCTCTCGAGTGCTGGGATTAAAGGCATATGCCACCACCACCACCACCACTCAGCCACATTTAACTCAGGCACCAACTTTTTAGGATACTTATTCTTCCTAATTTTTTCAAATTCTATCACCTTATCTTCTAAAAAACAAGACGTATTGTAGGTTATATAAGAATAACATGAAAAAGAAAAAAAAAATGCTGGGTGTGGTGGTGCAGGCCTTTAATCCCAGCACTTAGGAGGCAAAGGCAGAGGAATCCCTGAGTTCAAGGCCAGCCCAGTCTACAGTGTGAGTGCCAGGACAGGCTCCAAAGATACACAGAGAAACCCTGTCTTGAAAAAACAAAACAAAACAAAACAAATCCCCCCAAAACAAACAGAAAACCCAAGAATTGGCAGGGGGTGAGGGGAGTGGGGGTGTTTGGGAGGGGAGGAGGGGACATGGTGGCATAGGATTTTAATCCCAGTACTTACGAGATAGAGGCAGGGGGGCTTTGTGGTTTTTTTTTTTTTTTTTTTTATTGTTGCCTTTTAATCTATGGCTTTTCTATTCAGCAACTAACTACTGTAACTGTACTGTACTGTAACTACTGTGTACTGTACTGTAACTACTGTGTACTGCACTGTACTGTAACTACTGTACCTGTAACTACTGCGTCTAGGCCACAAGAGCCAAAGCCTGTGAGAATTTTGTTCCCTCAGGCATCCACTCCTTCAAAGCTACTAAGGAAACTTATTTAAACCTCTGTCCCACTAAAGAACTCAAGATTTAAAGGTTGAAGTAGAATCCTGCTTCCCAAAGGGGCTGAATAGCAAACAGCTCACCACCTCCTGTTTCCCAATAAGTCCTCTTTTTCTTGACCCTCCTTATAAACCCTTCTCCATCTGACTCCTCCCTACAACTTCCTATCAGCTGGTTGCTGACCCAATTTCCGTACCGCAGGTGAATTCTATTTAATCAAACACATCTTTGCATCATTAAACAAAACTTCCAGTGCATAAGCAAAAGTAACACACCTTTAAATAATATTCTACAACACTTGTGAGTTCAAGGCCTCCAGGTTTACATAATAAGTTCCAGGCTAGCCAGGGTTATAAAAGTAAGACCCTGAATCAAAAAAAAGAAAAGAAAAAAAAAATAATGTACTTCCTTTGGTGAAATGAAGGTGTTTAAAATTTACATTAGACCCTATCACCCAAAATTAACTATCTTTCTTGTGTATCTTTCCAAATAGAAGTTGTAATTTATATTTAACCTTTTGTTGTTGGTGGTTGTATTTTTCTGCTGTCTCATGGTCTTTGTCATTTTTCATGTCTTTTGAGTATTCTTCATAAATTTTTAACCTATTTCTGAGCTGGGCATTTGTGTTGGTTCTTGGTTTTTGTTAGTATAAATCTTTTATATACATATTTATGTGACTATAGCTTCTTTATCTTTTCTTTTTCTTATTTTCCTTATATGTAGGATTTTTAGTAAGGATTATCATAATTAAAGGTTACTTTGGGCTCAAGTGAGCTCAGTAATAGAGTAGTTGCCTAACATAATGTTCTGGATTTTCATTTGTTGTTTTGTTTTTAGAGACAGGGTTTCTCTGTGTACCTTTGGAGTCTTTCCTGGCACTCACTCTGTAGACCAGGCTGGCCTCCATCTCAAAGAGATCCGCCTGCCTCTGCCTCTTGAGTACTGGGATTAAAAGCGTGTGCCACCACTGCCTGGCAAAGATCTGGATTTTTAATCCCCAGTCAGAATCACTGTAATTCATGTTTCACAATTTAGAATATTTTAGTTCTTAAAACAAAACAAAACAAGGAGGCTGGAAAGGTGGTTCAGAGATTAAGAGCATTGACTGCTTTTCCAGAGGTCGTGAGTTCAATTCCCAGAAACCACATGCTGGCTCACAACCATATGTAATGAGATCTGGTGCCCTCTTCTGGCATGCAGACATAGCATACATGTAGGCAGAACACTGTATACATAATAAATAAATACATCTTTAAAAAAAGCCAAAAACCAACAACTCCATTTAATTCAAGGAAGTAAGCCAAACAACCTTTCTCTGTTATTTTAAACTTTCAGGTGTGTGTGTACAATGTGGTCTGTGTATGAGTTATGGTGTATGTAGTGTATGTATTTGTTAGTATTGGTGTTTGCTTATGTACCTGTAGGTGGGCCTATGCATGTATGTATGGAGGCCAGAGTCACCATCCACCTAAGTTTTTTAGACAGGGTTTCTCCCTGAACCTGAAACTCATTGATTTGGCTAGACCACTCAGGGATGCATCTGTCTTTGCCCCCACTCTCCCGTCCCCTGGTTATAGACACCTAGCTTTTCAGCTTTTTACATGGGTGCTGGGATTTGGACTCAGGTCCTCATGCCATGCAGCAGTCACTTTACTGATTAAGTCATCTTCCCTGACCCCTATTTTCCCAACTTTTGTTTTGAAAAATTGTAGAATCACAGAGTAAGTGAAAATGGTCACTGGTGGTGCCTTTACTTCAATTTACTAATTGTTAATATTTCCCACACTTGCTGTATCTCTTATTTTTTCTCTCACTGCACACACAATTTCTGCTTAGTCATTTGACAGTAAGTTACAAACATCTAACTCTTGACTCCTTGATACTTTAAGAATAAAACAGTTTCCTCATAAGCAAAATACCATCATCACATCTAAGAAAATTAACAGTATACTATTCCATAACATCTAACATGGTTCAAAATAAAATTTCTTGTCCCCAAATGTCTTTGATAGCTTTTGCTTTCCTAATCTAGGATCCAGTTAAATATTATGTATTATATTTGACCTTTCTGTGTTTTGATGCCACTTAAAACAAAAGGAAATTCTGTATATATATATTAAAGCCTTGGAATATGCCCCAAGAGGCTCTTAGAGCAGAATTTCCCCCCAGGCCACCAGGTCAGCCTTAGTTGTGAACCAGAGAATTTTTCCTTCTAATGGAAGATGGCTCATAGTCCAATAGATGTAGGAAAGAACATTGTCGCTATGCTGGCTAGTTTTATGTCAACTTGTCACAGGCCAGAGTCAAACTCAGAGATCCATCTGCCTTTGCCTCCCGAGTACTAGGATTAAAGGTGTGAGGAGAGAGCAGAGCCTGCAATTGTCCCTTCTTAAGCTACCTCAGAAGATCACTGCCCCCGATAATGTCTTCTAAAGTTAGCAGGTTTCCAGAAAGCTTTTTTGGGACACTGGCTTCTCTGATTAGAATTTTTTTCTTTATCTTTAGGGCTATAATAAGCACTTATAGTCTATACAACTAATATTTGACTTTGGGCCTTTGGATCGGAAGCATTATTGTCACAGCTTAGTGAAACCTGGTTCTCCTCCTCATTTCAGTGGCGGGACCACTGGATGCAGTGTGTATACTTCTTGCCACAGGAGGAGCCCGTTGTTCAGGGCTCACCCCGATGCCTGGTAGCCCACCATGACGACTACTGTGTGTGGTACAGCCTTCAGAGGACCAGGTATGCAAGTTTGTTGGGGTGGAGGACCAGCCCTCAGAGACTGCATTGATGTGAACTCTCTATTGGACAGGTCTGGCAGAGATTTAAATGGGTAGATTTAGGTCAGAACAGAATAAAATAAGAGCAAGGGCCAGTAAGATGACTCTGTGGGTAAAGGTGTTTGTAGCTAAGCCTGATGACTTGTGTTCAATCCTCAGAATCCACATAGTGGAAGGAGAGAACTTATTTCTCAAAGCTGTTCTCTGTTCTCTACATATGTGTTATGGTACTCCTCCACACACATACAAATAATAACAATAATAACAATAACAATAATAATAATAATAATAATTTAAAAAGCAAAAGTTTGTAGCAAGATACATCAGTGTGTTTCTGTATATGCAGAAACTGTTATGGATTGGTAAGTTCTATTCAAAACAAATATATGAAAAGTGTGGAATCTCCCCCAGTGTGCTGGTGTTGAGACTCCTTTAGAGACCTGTGCATGTATCTCCCAGGGCCCAGGCTCACTTCTGGTGTTCTTGCCCCCTGTCCCATGCCCTCGTGCTCTCCAAGTTTCCAGTGTGGAATATTTATCATTTATGTTTAATTTTTCACCTTCCTGCTCAGCGCTGATGAGAATGAGGAAGTTTACCAAGTGCGCCCTGTGTGTGATTGTCAGGCTCACTTGCTCTGGAATCGGCCTCGGTTTGGAGAGATTAATGATCAGGACAGAACTGATCAGTATGCCCAAGCCCTGAGGACTGTGAGTATCTGTGTCTTTGTGCTTAGGTCTCACTCTTCCGCTTATGGTTTGCTCTTACAGTTTTGTTTTGTCTTTCCTTGTCAATATCTCTAACTGGCTCCATCTGGAGCAGACACTGGAGAGCCTGAGAACTTGTTCTCTGCTTTGAGAGAGGTCCCTTGGGAGTTCATTGTTCCCATAAGAGCTCCCTTGAGAGCCTCTCCCCAAACTTGCTGTGCCGGTACCCTTTACCTCTGTAGTCACCAGCAATTGGTGTGGGTGATCACATCTTCATCTGCACTTCTACTGTTTTCTTTTTTTTTGTTTGTTTTTTTGAGACAGGGTTTCTTTGGTGTATTCAGAAATCTGTCAGGTCTGAAGAGAGAAGGCTCAATGGTTAAGGATACTTGTTGCCCTTCCCTGGGTTTGATCCTGGTACTCACAGTTTGTGACTCCACTTCTAAGACATCTGATGCCCTCTTCTGGCCTCAGTGGGTTACAAACCCACAGTAAGGCAAAACACCCAAACATAAAATTAGGGGGAAAAAAGGAAAATGGAGCCTGTGAGTGAAGCTGGGGGAAGGGCAGCGTGTCTGGAGGAAGCTGCTGGACTAAGGTAACCTATGCTGTTTCTCACAGGTGCTGATGCCAGGCACCATCTGTCTTTGTGTCAGTGATGGCAGTCTGCTCTCTCTGCTGGCCCATCACCTTGGGGCGGAGCAGGTACTGGGTCATGCGTTTCTGTTTCTCTGTAAGGGTTGTTCTTCTCTTTTCATTTTTTAATTTATTTTTCTTTTCTTTTCTGTTTTGTTGTTTTATACTTTTTTTTTTTTTTTTTTTTTAAAGTTGGCTCTTGAGTTAGGGCATAGTGTAGTCCAGGCATGAGTTTCTGTGATCAAAGCCCTTTGCAGATGTAGTTTTCTTTGGTGGAATGGCTTTGGTTTGGGGGCTTAGGAACTTTACTATTTCCATTCATGGTCAGGAACAAAGTAATGACTACCACTGCCAGGTAGCTGCAGTGTAGGGTTCTGAGTTGCCCGCTTTCTCTAATGAATACCCAGCCAGCATAGATGCTGTCCAAGGGAGGTAGTACAGTCAGGCCTTTGTTTCAGTGTCCTCTTGACAGGTTTTCATCTTAAGTTTCTACCGTCTTTAAGTCTGTCTCTTGTGTTCTCTTCAGGTGTTTACAGTTGAGAGTTCGGCAGCTTCCTATAGACTGATGAAAAGGGTAAGTGACAGTTGTTACTGAATTCATGAGGGGACTGTTGGACCTACCTTCTTCAGTCTGGGATGGGTGACTTTGCAGTAGCATCACAACCAGAAACTAGTAGAAATAACCCTGATTCATGGCTATAGCTCCTATCTGGAAAGCAGGATTTTTGGCTTTGGGACAGACATCCAATTAGTAGGATTTTTGTTTGTTTGTTTTTGAGACAGGGTCTCACTTGTAGCCTTGGCTGGCCTATAACTATGTAAACCAGGCTGGCCTCAAGCTCACGGAGGTCTGCCTGCCTCCCAAGTGCTGGGATTAAAGTTGTGTACACCTTGCCTGGCTTCTGGCATCTAATCAGAACCAAATGTTTGCACTCTGCTTTTGGTTTTTGTAGTTGAAGAAGTTTAGCCTTTTCTCATTTCACAGAAACTAGCATCTCTGTGTGAGGAGAACTGAGTGATTTGTAACCTACTTTACCAAAACTGCAAGATCTATATAGATCCTGCCTGATGAGATGTCATTTGTTCATGACCTCTTTCATGGTCTGTAGGAGGTGCCCAAAGAGATGTTATCCTAGAGCCATTTGGCCAGAATATGCAACAGAAAAGGTAACTTTGACAGGTGTTAGTTTTTAACTTTCTATGATGCTGCAGATTGAATCTAGGTCTCAAGCGCATCAGGCAAGCACTCTACCATGGAACTATACCTTCTCTCAATAGTTGTTTTTCCCTGGTCCAAAACAATATGTGAATATTAACACAGTTACATTCTTTCCAAGATCTTCAAGGCTAACCACTTGGAAGATAAAGTTAGTATCATCAAGAAACGGCCTGAGTTGTTAACATCTGCAGACCTGGAGGGTAAGAAGGTAAGGCATGGGACTTTGTGGTGCACTAGAGCTGTGTGACTAAGCTCTGCCTTGTCACCTTGAATGCTATGTGATATCCCTTATGCAGCTTGGCCAGCAGAGACCTCACCACTATGAGGGTGGGTTGAAAGACCCCAACTCAAGCCTAGCCTGATACCCACCAGCATGTATTTAAAAATCACTCTGGGCACACACAGCTCTGGAACAAAGAACACATGCAATGGTCGGTCATGATGACCAGTCTCTGGAAATTGTTATTATTACTAGTTTCTGTTATCTTCAACAACTGTCTGGTTTCTAAAAATTAATATGGGTTAAAATGCTCCAGAGCACCCAAGTTTTGAAAATAAGTATAAGTCACTCTGTTCCCAGAAAAACCACTAGCTGTCCTATGGCCTTGCATGTGTAAAAACCAAAATAACATTCCAAACCCCTTGTGGGCAAAATTGTAAGTTCAGTTCCCCACCAATCAGAGACTCATGTATGTTATAGCCAGTCAATATGTTGTCATACTCCTGCCTAATGGCCAAAAAGACATAAAAACTGCCTGCTTTGGAAACTCGGGGCCATTCTCTTCCCAGGGGACGACCCCAACACATTGGAATAAAATCCTTTTGCTTTTACATTGAACTTATGTCCTGTGAGTGACTCTGTGGGGTGCGTCTCCCGGAGTTAGACTTCACTTTTGGGTCCAACAGTGAGGGTTTGTATTAAGGCCCAGTGAGCATAGAACTGGGCTCCTGTGCCTCTCAAATAAGAGCAGAATAGTTTGTTGATGTTACATAGCATAGTGCACCACCTCTCCTTTTCCCCTAAATGTAGTCCTTTTTGAAGGATTCTTCCAGCTCAGAACTTTTTACATCCCCCACCCCCAGCTGCTCATCAGGAACTCTGGTTACTAAGCACCAGTTCCCTGCAGGCTTTTGTTTGTTTTGGGAAAGGGTTGTTATATAGACTAGGTTGACCTTGATCTCACAGAGCTGTGCTTACCTCTGCCTCCTGAGTGCTGGGATTAAAAGCATGTGCCCCCATGGCTAGCTGTTTTTAACTTCTTAAGAAGCAGCTAAACTGTTGTACATGGTTGCTGGGTTGTACCTCTCCAACAGTATGTGAGATTCATTTTGTGGTTTTCTCTCCTTTTCAGTGTAGCCATTTTAGTGTAGTTTTAATTTGTATTTTCATGATAGCTAATGATATTGAACATCTTTTCATACTCATAGGCTTATAAGACTTATAAGTCTTACTTGAATATCTGTTCAAGTGTCTTGCCTATTTTCCCTCATGCATTTTATAAAATGACAGCTTGAGATGTAATTCATGCAGTATACAAAGCACTCACTTAAAGTATATGGTTGAGTGATGTAGTGTGTTTATAAAGTAGGCAACCACTACTAAGTCAACGTTAGGGATTTTTTTTTTTTTTTTTTTTTTTTTTGGTTTTTCAAGACAGGGTTTCTCTGTGTAACTTTGGAGCCTATCCTGGCACTCGCTCTGTAGACCAGATTGGCCTTGAACTCAGAGATCCTCCTGCCTCTGCCTCCCAAGTTCTGGGATTAAAGGCGTGCGCCACCTACGCCCGGCAACTTTAGGGATTTTTATTACCCTAAATTACACTCTTTTTGTTGGTGGTCACACTCATGTGCTCCCAAGCCCTAAACCACCACTAGTTTACTTTCTGTGTGGGTTTGCCTATCCTAGACAAATCATATATACTATACTATATATGCTCCTTTGTAACTGACTTCTTTCACTTAATGTAATATTTTCAAGGATCATCCATATTGTAACCTAAGTCAGTGTGCCATCTTTTTTATTGTTGAGCAATACTCCATTGTATGGATATACCACATTTTATTTTTCCATTTACTGTTGATGGACATTTGTGCTATTGATATTTCTTGGTTATTTTGAATGGTGCTACTTTGAACATTCAGGTCCAATTATGTTTTCCTCCTTCTCCTCTTCTTCCTCTCTTATTTTTTTTTAAAGATTTATTTATATATTTTATGTATGAGTCCTCTGTCCTCATGCATACCAGAAGAAGGAATCTAATCCCATTACATATGGTTGTGAGCTACCATGTGGTTGCTGGGAATTGAACACAGGACCTCTGAAAGAGGAGTCAAGTGCTCTTAACCTCTAAGCCATCTTTCCAGCCTCATTCTTAATGCAGGTTTAGAACATAGAGGTTTAGAACATGGTTAAAGTAATAAATCATTTCTGTGGTGTCTGGCCAGACTTCAGGTTCCTGTTGGGCAGAAATGATGAAATGGTAAGAGAAGGCATCTGTGTGATATTTCTGATGTTGGGGTAAGAGTGAAGGGCAGGGAAGTTTCAAGGCCAACCCTGGTCTGGCTTCCACTGTACCTATTGCATATCCTCTGGTTCCCATTCACTGAGGCCTTGGAGAGTCTCCTTAGACTCTGTCCCCAACCCACACATCAGCCTGAATGCTGAGGCATTCCCTTAGACTATCTCCAATCACATCTCCACTTGCAGAGTTCTGCCTATATGCTTCATGGTCCCTAGAAGGATATTTTAAAATACATGTCTTCTATCTTTTGAATCCCTGATTAAAGCTTGTAGGAGGCCCTGTTGCCTTCAGGACAAGTTGACCATTTGGATTCTGGCTGGTCTGGCCTCCTCATCCTCTCCTGACAAATGTCTAGAAGGCCTTGCTCTTACTTACATCCTCGCTTGGCCTCTGCCCATTTGTCTGACTTCCCTGACTCCTAGTCATACAGCTATTTGTTTATTCTACAAATGTTGACTGAAATGCAGTCTGCCAGGCACCATGCTGCCAGTGTCCACATTTGCTTTAGTGCAGTGGAGGTGACACATTGTCCATCTGGCACTGATACACTGGGGTGAAACAACTTAGTTTGTGGAACAGAAGGATCCATTCTGGAAGCCCTTTGTGAAGGCCCTGCATGTGCCTATCCCTTGCTTCTTTCACGTGAAGACTGCTCTCCCTTGTTTGTATTGTTTTTCTACTCTGCAGTCCTTTGCGTCTTCAGGGGCATGCTCATTTGTTGACTGAGTGTTGAATGGATGGATGAGTGAATGAATGAATGAATGAATGAATGAATGAATGGCCTGTTACATGTTCCTGTGAAGTTGCTGAGTTGCCCTTAACTTGTTAGCTTCACTCCTTATACCCAGTTTCTTCCTGTTCTGGTTGCCAGGTCTCCCTCCTCCTGGGTGAACCCTTCTTCGCCACCAGCCTGCTGCCATGGCACAACCTATACTTCTGGTATGTCCGTACTTCTGTGGACCAGCACCTGGAACCTGGAGCTGTGGTGATGCCCCAGGCTGCTTCACTGTATGCTATGATCGTGGAGTTCAGGGTAGGCCACCCAGGACTTTGCAAAACACCAAAGCAACAGGAGGGTGGGGAAGCTGTGTTCTTCAGAGTCCTTGAGTGCAGATGGAACAGCTTGGGCCCTGGTGATGGGCCTTTCTTTTCTGCATCAGTGGCTGCAGGATGGAATAGAGGAAGGCTGTGTTTTTAAAAAGCAGTAATTTGACATATGAAATGGAAATGACTGTGTGTTGTCATTTCACAATTGTGGCTTATCAGAATAATTAAAAACATAAATTAAGTGTTTCAGAAGGCATGCTGTGCAGCTAGCTGTGCTCTTGTAGAGAATGGAGGCTGTGTTTGTTAGAGCATTCTGAGATGGGGACTTCTCTTTTTATGCACGAAGAAATAGAAAAGCTTCATTTTAATTTTCTCATCAAAGCAGAACCACAGTCACCAAGTCATTTTAAATGGAAAAGGCATTTTTTATTGGAAGGATTTTGAAGTGCTTTGAACCTGAAATGAAGAGTGAATCACATTTGATATTCCTTTTATGAGAATGGTTCTATTTGTTGGTAGCCTCATGGCTCCATCACTTAATTTCTGGTGGGCATTTTTTTCTGTGTTATTTGCCTGATGGAATTTCCATATGGATTGTGGCTCTCATGACTATAGAAAAGGATGCTTAGTCCCAGGCCCAAGAGGCAGGGGATAGAAGATGGACTGGCCAGACAGTGCTTTGGGCCCTTCTCCTGTACTTTGATGTAGTGTTCACAGGCCCCAGGGGGCTACTTTCAAAAGCCTCAACTTCAGTTTTGGTTGTCTCCTTAGGAGGGAACTTGGTGCCATGTCAGTTTACACAGTCTTATATTAGTCTGTCACACAAACCCCTCTGGTTCTTCAGGGTCTTTGTCCCTTTTTCCTGGTGGGTGGAGGGGGGGAGGTCTGTGTCTATGGTAAACAGGAACAGCAAGCTATGCCTGTTTTGAGTCAGTGCTGGCCTGGAACTCACTGTGTAGCCTCAACACAGGGATCCACATATCTTTGCCTCCCAAGTGCTGGAACTAAAGTTTTGTGTCACCTCAACCATCTTTCCTTCTGATCCCAATTCATGTAGCCATTTTTTTTTTTTCAAGCCCAGTTGTAACACAGGACTGTTCTTCCTTCATAGGATTTGTGGCGGATCCGGAGCCCTTGTGGTGACTGCGAAGGTTTTGACGTGCACATCATGGATGATATGATTAAGGTAAGCAGGACTAGCTAGACCTGTTGCCTACAATACTACTTGGAGCTGAGATGAGAGGGTGAAAAGTTCAGCAGCCCAGGATACTTAGCAAGACTGCCTCAAAATTTTTAAAAACTTGAAGAACAAGACAAAAACCCAAAGGGCTGGAGAGATGGCTCACTGTTTAGGAGCACTGATTGCTCTTCCAGAGGACTGGTGTTTGAATCCTAGCACCTACGTGGTAGCTCATACTCACCTGTAACTCTAGTTCCAGGAATATGATGTTCCTGCCTAGCCTCCATGAATTCTAGGCATGCAAATGTTACATAGACATACATGTAGACAAAACACCCATACACATAAAATAAAATTAAAAAAAAAAACAAACCCTAAAAACAAAATAGAGGTAGAAGGTACAGGGGACTAAGAATATAGCTTAGTGATAGAATACCTGCTTAGCCTCTGTGCACTCTTGAGTGCTTGATCTCTAGAGTTACTGAAAACACAGATAAGCAAGAATGCATTCTGCGTCCTGTTCCACCTATTATTTCCTCAGGGCCATAAACCTCTGGCAGGGACCTGATGTGAGCAACATAAATAGTATACATAGAGAGAGCTTCTGTTTCAGGTGGTGAGGCCAGTGCTGCCATTTTGTTTGCCCCTCCCCCTCCATGGGCATTAACCTGAGAACCATTCATAGCCCTATGCTCTATGTCTGGATTGGCATTGAATGTCACTGGACCGTGTACTGACTCTACCCTGCTAGTGCCGAGAAACTTGTTTTCTCTTGGGACAGCCTTTCCACAAGTGACTGACTGGTCACTTTCTGTGGTAGCCATTTTCATCTTGGGCACTGTACTCCAGAGAAGAGTGCTAGAGGGAGTTATAAGGAGGTCTTTGCAAAGTTATGTAATAGATGTCACCAGTTCCTGATGTTCAACTAGAGTGGGTGACCCACAGGGCCTATGTCCCCTGGAAACATGTCATGACAGCAGCAGTGGTATGTGCCTTTGTAGGGTTGAGTTGAAAAGTCACAGGGTGAGTTCACAGGATGAGGGTAGAAACACTGGCCCATTATGCTTGAAAATTCATATTTACACAGAGAGAAAAGAGAATGGAACTCATAGCTTGTAACTAGATAGAGACCTTTCTCCTTTTTATCTTCCAGATTACATTTTTCTATGTCAATGTGGGTTGCTTTTATTTTTTTTTTCTTCAGATTTGTAAAGTAACCCTCATGGGTGTTTTCCATTTGTATCTTGCCATCTCTACAACAGACCATTGACTATTAATGCTCCTAGACATTTTTGTGTTGAGACATTGCTCTGGGTCTCCCTGCCACATTTGACCACTTATCTGGCTCAGTGTTGGCCTCCTCTCACTCTGCCATCCTTTGAGGTTTCATGTCTCTGCTCTCCTTCAACCCTTATTCCTGACCCTGCATTGCCAGTCTACTGCCTGGCTAATGGGCTCATTTCTCCTGTGTGGAGAGCTGGTTCAGTGTTGAGTGCAAGCACTGCTCTTTCAGATGACCCCAATTCAGGGCCTAGCACCCACACTGAATGGTTCACAGCTGCCTCTGACACCCCTGGCCTCTGTGGGCACTCACACACAGGTATGTGACGCCCCCCACCCAACACATATACAGTTTAAACTATTAAAAATAAATCTTGAAGAAGATAGTTGTAGGGCATGGTGGCCCCTGGCTTTAATCCTAGCACCCCGGAGGCAGAGACAGGAGGATCTCTGTCAATTCAAGACCAGGATGGTTTACGTAGTGAGTTCCAAGGCCTTGTTTGCTCACCCCCACCCCCCTCCCAAAAAAAAGGAGTAAAATAGTTTATAGAGACAGACACCTCTGCTGGATCTCATCAGGCCTTGTGACTTTCCTGCTTCCTCAGTCCACTCCTCTAGACCTGGCATCCTCCCTGTCAGTTATGCTTTCCCTTGTAGTAACTTCCTGTCAGGTTCCCAGGGAGTCTCTAATTCAGGTTTCTGCTGCCAACCTTGTCAGAAACACACTGGTCTGTGGCTTCCTACCTCTCCCACTTCAGCCTTCCTCTACATGGTGTCCAAGGAAATGTACATCTTATTGGGCTCCATCCTCCTGCCCAAAAGATCTGGGTCTTGAAGTGTCTTCCAACACCCCCCCAACCCCCCAATGTGGCCACTGCTTCTGCTTCCTGATTGACTCTTGTTTATGTCCCACTTCCAGCCTTTTGGCCTCCCAGTCTTCTGCCTAAAGCCACCTCCAGGTAGCTTCTCTGTCATGCATCTGTCCACACAGCCTGTTCTCACATGCTTATGTACATGTCCATTTTCCTTGCTTCTGAGCTCCCTGTTAGGGTGGTATCATGGTAGTGGGTGAAAAGGACTGGAATCACCAAGACCAAGTTCTCAGCACGAAGGAAATTTATTTGTCTCAGAGGGACAAAGGGCGGGGAATAGGAGACAAAGACAGGAGATAGAGGACGAGTGAGAAGGGAAAAGGAACAAGAGAGAGGGGGGAAGGGATATTTGCCCTGGAGGGACAAAGATATGGCCCATAGGCAAATGACAGTTTATAAAGGGAGAAAAAGGAAACCCCATGTTAGGATGAGTTGGTTTATTTTGATTGGACATGTTAATTAGGACAGCCAAAGGGGGACTTTTGATTGCTGGGCTTTAATACTTTGATAGCTGCATCTTGATGGTCAGCCTCAGGAGGAGAAAGTGGACAGATAAGGGAATAGACCTTTAGGAATGTAATCTAACAGTTTAGCAAGGCAGAGGGAATGGAGGAAGGTCAAGGCCTCCCAGAGCCATGTGTGCTGTGTTCAGGCCTGCTAGAGCCCTTCAGTGGGCAGTATTGGTGAGAGGTGAGTGGATGCCTACCTTTTTGTTGTTGTTGTTCTTCCCCAACAAAGACATTTGGTCCTTAGAATAGGTCAAGAGTAGGCATTGTCATCCCTGTTTAAAAAGGAGGCTAGGGCTTAGAGAGGTGAAGTGGCCTTCTGATGGATGGATAGGGAAGGGAGAAGCTGGTTGTTATGTCCAGGTGCCCAGTGTTGTGACTGTAAGCATTTTAGCAGATCAGATGGGATTGGAAGGAGAGGGATTCTGGTACTCGGGAGCCAAAGAATACTGAGTGTTACAGCTTGGATGGAAAGGTATTCTACACTTGGGAGTCACAGAATACTGAGTGTTACAACTCTGGTGGAAAGGTATTCTGGCAATTGGGAGCCAAGGAATACACAGGTCACAGTAAGCATGGCAGCTTACAGCCTTGCTTCAGGGAAAGGCTTCCTCACTGTATCACCTCTGCTGCAGCTGGAGAGGAGTCCCTGGCGAAGTTGTTACAGTTAGGCTCCAGTCCCCCTGGAGAGTGGAGTGTGTGTGTAATCGCTTCACCAGGGGAAGGTTTCTCCAGGGAAAGTGTTATAGCCCTACTCCCAAACCTCATTCAAGAGATTTATTGGGAGGGAAGAATCCAGGGTGGCAGAGGACAGCCAGCCAGCTACAAGCTGAACAGGCACAGGGTAGGGCTTCTAAGGGGCCGAGTTTTTCCAGGGAGATTTCCAGGATGGGGATTGGTCAGATTTCAGTCCCTGAGCTTAGGATGGCTAGATCTCCTGCTCAGGGGTTGGTTAGTTTTCTGCACAGGTTTAGGGTCAGATTTGGCTCTGGTTTCAAGGCCAAAGTGTGTAGTGTTTCTTTCACTGGTCCTTGTTAGGCATTTGGCTCTAGTTTTAGGGCCAGGGTGTATTTCTTTGGCTGGCCCCTTTTCCTTACAGTGACAACTTGGTGTTCCACATGACTGCAGTTTCACAGGAGTACTGGGCCACAGAAATGAGGGTGACCCTGGCTGATTGCAGTTCATCTCTACAGATCTGTCCTCTTCTCCTCTAGCACTCCCTGGATTTTCGAGAGAGCAGAGAGGCAGAACCCCACCCATTGTGGGAGTACCCCTGCCGCAGCCTTTCTGAGCCTCAGCAGATTCTGACCTTTGATTTCCAGCAGCCTGTGCCCCAGAAGCCTGTGCGTGCTGAGGGCTCCATGGAACTGAGAAGGTGAGTGGAAGCTGCAGCAGGTTGTGGGGTGAAGACAATAGAGGGACTTACTGGCCACACAGTTGTGAAGGACTAACAGCCTGGAGACTCTTACTCTTGGCCCAGGATTTTTCCTTCCATCCCACCTATCTTTTGCATTATGGAATGTCCCACAGCCTCTGGGCATGTGCTGGTGAAGGAGAACTGGAGTGGGCCTTGCTTACCTCCCTACCTGTGGCTCCTTACTGTATCAAGCTGCAGACAAACATTGGTTACTATGGTTACCCACTGGCCCATTTTCCTGAATTCTCTTGGGAGTTAAAGCAGGTTAGGGTTGGTGAGGGCCACTTGCTGCAAGGTGTGGGAGACCCTACCCAGCCCCAGTGCCATTTATAGTAAGAGTGTTGCCTCTTACCTAAGGGAGCCCTGTGCCTAGAGCTCAGAGAGCTTTTATCCCAGGGACAAGCAGCAAGGGCAGGGCAGATGCCACTGCCCAGGGATTCTTCATTGTCAGACCCTGGGAACAGCTGCACTCAGGGGTTTCTGTGCTCAGGCTGTGAAGAGTGTGGAGTTGAGGGCTGTGGCTGCTCTGTCTCAACTTTTTCTGTCTAGGCTTTACCTTCATGGGTGAGGAGTATACAAACTCCTAACTGGGAGGGATGAGAGTGGTAGAGGTTTCAAAAAAGCAGAAGGATGTGTTGGTTGGACTCATCTGTGTCTGTGTGACTATTTGAGTCTATACTCCCTAGACCTGGGAAGAGCCATGGTGCTGTCCTGTGGATGGAATATCATCTGACTCCAGACAGCACAGTCAGCACCGGCCTCATGAACCCTTTGGAAGACAAGGTAGTACTGTGGGCACCAGGCCCAGAGGTGTGTGCCTGCCCTAAAGCCACTTGTACCCCTTGTGCCCTGAATATCCCTGTTCTGTGCCCTTCAGGTCAGCTAACTCCCAGGTGACCCAGGTTACTTCCCACTGTTAGTTTACATGGGCTGGAAAGGTGGCTTGGGTGCCAGGGACCCTTCCCATCCTTTTGCTACTCGTCCTGCAGGGGGACTGCTGCTGGAACCCCCACTGCAAGCAAGCTGTGTACTTCCTCAGCACCACAGTGGATCCCAGAGTGCCTCTGGATGGCCCTCAGTCTGTCAGCTATGCTGTGGAGTTTCATCCCCTCACTGGAGACATCACCATGGAGTTTAGGCTTGCAGACACCTTGAACTAATTCCCTCATTGAGAAATTAAATGGCCAATAGGCTGCAGACTCTGAATGGCTTGGGGCTCAATGGGGAAAGAAGGCCAAGAACTTCTTTTCATGCACCTACTTGGCATCTGCACAGAGGAGACCTCTTATTTTTGTGTCTTAGTGCTGCTGGCTTGCAGCATCAGGTGTGGCAGGCAGCATGGGCTGGTGACTGATTCAAGAGTTCTGAAGCAACCAGGGAGAATGGTTTGTGGTTCTGAGAGTTCAGAAAGCTCTGGTATAGTGATGCTTCCTGTCCTATCTGGAGGACAACTGAGGAAGAACCTTCACTGGGACTAAGCCCTCTTAGCTGGAACCTACCCAGCCTGTCTGCTTTCTAGGAATCTCTAGGTCTCTGCTTAGAGAATGGCCTTCTAGGAACTTCCTTGGGCCTTCGTGATCCTGGTAAGACCTGGGTTAGAGGACTAGGCCACATCCATAAACATTTGGGTATCTTGCCTCAGTGCATACCAGCAGGTGGCCTCATAAGCCATGAGACTTGGACACCAGGGTGCTGCTCACAGATTAGGGAAGAGGCCATCCTCAAGCAGTTCCCTGTGCCACTGGAAAGAAAACTAGGAAAGTGGCCTTTTCCTGTATTTATCGGATGGCCCTTGCTCTGATGGCCTATCCTTGCTGAAGCAGAAAGTGCAGAGATTCCCCAGTTGGCTACAGCCTTGTCCCACCTCTGCCACTTCTCTCCCATACTCTTTCTAATGACCTCTCAGTTCTGAAAGGATTTGGGAGGGATCCAGTAGTAAAACCTAGGTGGCTAAATCCCTTGCATTTCAGGGCAGACATGGACTATGTCCCCATAGTCATTCCCCAAATCCCATAGGCTGGTATCAACTCTGGAAATCCATAGGTCCTTTCCCAGTTTGTTGAGCAAATAAGTACAGAACCAGAATGCCAGCCTTGAGCCTCACAGTTTTATTTTCTCGTCATTCTTCATCCTTCCTTTCAGCACCATAAAGGAAAAATCCACCTCTTTTCAACATTTTCATTTTAATCAGGCATAAAGATTTGTTTTTCTTCTTGGGAAGAATCGTCTGGATATATATTTGATAATGTTTTACCAAAACCTTAGGTATCTTACCATATAAAACCCCTAATGTCCCATGAGGATACAATACAGAAATTAAAAAAGTTTCTTCTTTTTTTTTTTAAAACAGTATTTCTAAATCTGAGCAAGTTAATACAATAGTTAAAAAGCATCAAGGTTAATATTCATACTTAAAACTCCAGGTGGTTTTGGACAAATAAAGATGAACGAATGGTCCTTCCTAAGCTAATGCACTTACCTAGCGCTTCCCTTGAGGGATCCTGGGCAGACAGAGCTGCAGTTGGGATTCAAGTGATCCCTGTGATTGCCCCTGTCTAGGCCTTAGTTGTCACAGAATCTGGAATCCTGGCAATGTCTCTTTTTTTAAAAGTTGAAATAGAAAGGCCTGGCATTACACAAGCCCTGAGTCCATAGGAAAACCACAACAAAATGTGTGGCAGATGGTCATGGCCTCAGTGCCAAGAGATGTGTAGGGGAGCTGGAAGGCAGGCTGTCCCTCCTCTGGACTCCAGAACCTGTCTATGTAGAGGTGACCTTGTAATAACAGAAGATGACAGAGGTACAGGGTAGTACCACTTGCCTAAGGCCACCCTGGGAGTTGGGAAGGAGAGAAGCATGTGGCTTTGACTCCAAACATGTCACTCTAACCCAGGTTTAGGGACCCTGGCCTTGGCTTCATCTACTCTCCTTAGACACAGTGCCATTGGTATAGGGATTAGGCTTGCCCAGTGGTGCCCTGCATGAACAGCATCCTGTTTGTTTCTGGGAGTGGGACCTTTCATTCCAGGAGGCCTTCCCAGATTAATGGGGGGAGGCCAGACCCTGGCAGGGGAAGGACACAGCTGAGAACCCTGCAAGGCTGCCCTAGCTCTGGACACTGGAGCATGGGGTCAGGACTCTCCAGGCCAAAAAGTTCAGACAGACTGGTATCACCAGCTATCCATACCCTAATGCCAAGCTGCCTGTGCTTTGAAGGATCACCCCAGCACAGGGTCTGGCATCTTGTTGGATATGTGCCCCTCTTCTTGATCCCTTTTGCTACTTAATGGGTGACAAGGCACAGCTTCAGGGCACCAGCATTTAGAGGTCCCAACAGAAGGGTCCTGATCCTTCCTCCATTCTCACCAAGCCGAGTTGGCCTTGAGCCAGGCTGGATACAAGATAGGGCACTTTGAAGAGATCAGTGGGGTTGTCAGAAACAGTCCCTCAAATTGGAGCTCAGTAAGTACCCTGAGACAGTCATCTTCCCTTTATAGTCAGGGATCAGCCTCTGCTCCCTGAAGGTAGGTGGGCAGTCAGTGCTGTCTTGGGCACCTGAGCAGGAGCAGGTGGAGAACAGTGGGCTTCTAGTAGCCTCACTATGCCGAGCTTGGGCTGGCTCTGGTCACGCAGTGGCTGGTGGCTGGCCACCTGAGCTTAATTGGTAAAGAAGCAATTCTCTACATCTTGGTTTCCTGCCACTTCATCCAGGGTACCCTCCTAGACATGGCATTGGCTGGAGCAGCTATTAGGGAGAGTGGGTTTGGGAGGCCAGAACTGCAGCCCAACTTGGGGGCAGGCAAGTCATTCCTGAGCTCAGCCACACATGGATGAGGAAGTCCTCAGGAAAGGGTTGAACCCAAGGGGCCCGTAGAAGAGGACGTGTTGGCTTGGATAGAAGAAGCTACAAACCTGTCATTTTCAAAATCAACCCTCCCCCCTTTATGTTCTGTGTCCCCTTTGTGTAAAAAAAGTAATGCCCTCTTCTTGGACTTCCTGTTATGTCCCCACAGCTGTGTCAGTTTCCTAAAGGTGCTGCTGGGGTGGCCAGAGGCAGCTGGACCCTGCTGTGTGGGCTGGGGAAGAGCACAGTTCTACCCAGTGACTTACAAACCCTAAGTGAAGGGTGATTTTGTGTTTAACATTTTCTGTTTTCTTTTTAAAATGTAATCGCCCTTGAATGCAAGACCCTGGGAAGAGCCCTGGGCTGGCAGGTAATGACAGCCTTCACATCCCCACCAAGCTGGAGGTGTGCCCAGGAAGTGCTTCTTTGGCTGTTTCTGATTGTGTTTGGAGTTTGGCCTTGGGTGAGGCCCGAGCAAGGGGTCTGGGTGCTACAGTGTGGCACATGGCATGCGGGCAGCGTGCGTGCGAGCGAGGGTGCAGGCATGCGAGACAACATTGGCAGCAGACAAAATTAATGAACCCTGGACAAAGCTTGAGAAGAGATACAAAGAGTACACAAACCCAGTCCTCATACTAACCCTTGGGTTACAAACTATGTTGTGCTGTGTAGATCTGTAGAAAATTGTGATTGGAAAGAATGGCACTGGTTAGGCAGCCAGGGGCTCCCAGACTGGCCTGAGTCCTCTGTTCTTAGAGATGGCCCAGAGGCACAGAGCAGCCTGGCTTCCAGGCTCCCAGGGGACTGACAGGCTCTTCCCTGTCCCCTGCCCTCCTTCCCCCAGCACTTGGTGCTCAATGGAGGGGACACAGCCCAGGTGCCTTGAAGGGCTGGCAGAGGCCCCACTTCTTGAGATGCCAGTGGCATGGCTGGTCTATGCCTCCTCTTCCCCTGCAGATACCATCAGCCGCATGGCCACAGGGAGGTGGTCGGTCAGGCCGGATAGCTGGGTGATAAAACTGAATTCTTCTACCTCCTAGGTTGGGGGGAAGGGTGGAAAACATTCTGTTTAGATCCAGAGAGGATGTTCTGGAAAGGGAAGTTTTGGGGGAGGAAATGACAGCCTGTGGTGGGAGGGTCTAAATGTGGGGCCAACTGGGCTAGGGTTGTACAGAGGGTATCTGGAGGCTCTCGGGCTATGAAAATGGTGGTTCTCATTTTAAGGGAGCAGGGACTGAGGGATAGGTTCAAAGTACTGTACGGTGCTACAGGGAGCAGCCTGAGACTCACAGCCTTCCAGTCAGGGCACAGCCCCTCCTCAGCGTGAAGCATGTAGTCAATGCGGCGGCCATTGCCTTTCAGCAGGTCCTTCCTCCCCTTCTGCCCAGCCCCTGGGCTCTTGCTGGTAGGGAAGGCCAGATACTCCCTTCGGCCTTCCTCACTCTCCAAAACCCTGTCGGGCAGAAAGGAAACAAGGTGAAGTCTTAGGCCAGCCCTGGACTGTGGAGCCATACTTTCCACAATGTAAGAGGGAAAGGGTAGACCAAACCTGGGTTTAAGACCTGCCTGTCTTGTGACTCCACAATGGGCCTCACCATAAGGAAGAGTCCCTAGTGAGCAGAGGCTCCACCATCTGTCACAGGCTGTCTCTACCTTGGGCTAACCAGTTCCCACTTCCCTTTCTATCCTGATTATGGTCTTGACATTCTTGGCTATGGCCATGTGAATACACCTCTCCTGATCCCTTCTTTGCTTTTGAGCTAGTAGGGGAAGCCCCATCACTATTTAAGATTGGCCAGGCTAAGGGAATCAAGAAAGGGCTACATTGGAGGTCCCAGTTATTTTATGGGTCTTAAGCTTAAGTGATGATGTGACCTAGCTTATCACCAAACCTGTGAGTACTATTTCCTTTGTAAAATGAGTAGTTGCTGTGGCCCTGACTGAGGGAATGGGCTGTTGTCCTATTTCTCAGAGTCATCCCAGAGACTCAAGGGTACCTACATGTCCAACACAGTTCCTACTAGCCTTCCCTGAGAGCCCAAGCAACCCTGGGAGAACCAGGGAACCCCATAGGTCATCCCTCTCAAATTATGGCATGGGAGACTCTGCCCAGTCCTCCAGGAGATTAACACTGGATACATTTAGTGTCTGGAGAGACTAGGATGGCAAACGTGGCTTTCTACAGGTTTTTATCAGCCTTAAGATAAATACACTAATGACATTCAGAGCATTGTTAACGGCTCAAAGATATAATCCATTACTGTCTTTTGTTTTGATAATTAATTCTAGCATCAATGATCTGAGAGTTACTGATAGTCATTTTTTAATCATCATCTCATGAAAAGATAATTTTCTCTGCATAGGATGATGTTTCAAATTTAGTCTATAATCTAATTAATTGGTTCAAATTAGCTGCAAGGAGGCATGGCAGTGGCTCTTTGCGGTCTCAGGCTGTGAATTATAAATCCACTCTGCTATTGGCCTTTCCTCTGTGTCCTTTATGGAAGCCTCACTAGGTTCAAGGATGAAGGTGGACCAGGGTAGAACTGTCTTTCAAGACAGCCAGTGTTCTCTCAGAGGCCATGGGCTCCCTTCTCTTCCACAGACCTCTTACCCAGCAGCTCTCTAGGGCTTGACTCTTGGCCTGATCCTGTATGAGTCATATTTAACTAGAGACATTTGCAATGTGATTCCAGATTGTGACTATTGCTTTGGGATTTGTCCCTTCTTCAGACTCCACCTAGCCGTCCTCTTTCCTGTGTAAGAGTTTCCTGATACACCAAAGTCCTTAGTGGCTTGAGTGAGCTGGCCCTGCTGGAACCTGCCCAGTCCCCATCTCTACAACATACTAGGGACTCTATACCTCCTGAAGGCCTGGGAGCTTATTAGGATTAGGGGTCCCTGCAGTAGTGTGGGCACTCACTTTTGAAGATTGTCAGGGGTACACACATCCTCATCATAGAGACCATTTGTGTCCAGCAGGGTACCTGGGGACAAAAGAGGAGAGTGGTGTGGTGACTGAAGTAGGGTCTAGCCAGCCTCAAGGGTAGCCCCCTTGGAGAGATTAGGGAGACACCAGGACTTTGGGGTCCTCTAGACAGCTGCTTAGGGCATGTCCCCTTCATGAGGGATCAGGTTCTGGTGGCCTCATCTTGGGAAGCCCATGGTGAGCCCAGCCCCCTGCTTACCAATGGCCCAAGGCTTCTCCTCCCCAGGCCCCAGGCGGCAGGGGTCCTTGTATCGAGTAAACAGTGAGTGCTGCTGCTCCAGTTTGTCATCTGTGTAGGAGGAATGGAGAGAGGAGTGCTCTGGACTGAGGCACCCGCTGCCCCTGGTTTGTGCCAGTTACTCCTACTGTATGCCACTAGGTTCCTTTCTCTTTGGTAACCATTCTGGGTTTATGGTTCTTTTGGTGTCTTGTGGTTGGTACTGTGGCTCATCTGTCCAGTGATGAGCCACAGTACCTTCTATGTGCCCCAACATACTGCTCTCTGTCCTCCAAGCCTTCCCAGATTCCATTGCAAACTGGATGATGCTGCAGCTGGAACCCTGTTCTCTTCACAGATCTGTCTGCTTGACCCTTGGGGAGGATGGATATCACATGGCTCAGAACCATGTGTTCTGCCTACTCCCTGGACCAGTATAGTCTTTTTTTTTTTTTTTTTTTTTTTTTTTTTGACTCTGGGCTGGAGGAAGGGCATTGGGTTAGGGCTTCCTGGTGGGAATCTCCTCTAAAAGCCTCTTCCTGTATGTGTTGTGCCAAGAGTGTCCTGACCAGAACAGAGAGACTTGTGCTGGGGCAGAAACTAGTGTGTTGAATGTGACAGCCTTGCTGTCCCACACAGGTATAGAGGAAAATCATTCTGTGTTGGTGACTGTGTTCCATGGTCGGCACTGCATTCTCCTCGCCCATGCTGGAATTGCCACTGTTGTCAAGAGATGCCTTCCTGGCCATAAAAGGCTAAAACAGCTTTGACTTGCTGCCATCAGGTGAGGGTACCATCTTGGACTCCAGATGAGACCTTGAGGTTTCCTGTTCTAAAGGGTGAGGCCTGAACTCACAGACTTCAAGTTCAGTGCTACCCATAGTCTCCTGTGGGAGCTGTGGCTCCCGCGGGAGTGTCAGAACCATGAGGCTCCCAGGCCAAAGAAAGCTCAAAACTACTCCTACCCCAAAGGGGGTTTTTGTAAATGTGGATTCAAATCAGTTTAAAACTTCACAGATGATTGGCTGTTAGTCTTCTACCTAAAAGGTTTGTTTGCTTGTTAGTTTCTTGAGACAAGGACTCGTGTATCTGTGGCTGACCTGGAAGTCACTGTGTAGACCAACTTGGTCTCAGACCTGAGACTGCAGGCATGGGCCACCATACCTAGCAGAGTTCAATAATTTAAACCAGTAGTTTTTTAAATTTAAAATAGTGTGTGTGTGTGTGTGTGTGTGTGTGTGGGTGGGTGGGTGGGTGTGGGTGTGGGTGTGGGTGTGGGTGTGGGTGTGGCTTTGTGCATATTCCTGTGGGTTTGTGCATCCACAGCAAACTCAGGGAGGTCACAGGACAACTTTTGGAAGTTGTTTCTCCTGGGGATTGAATGCAGATCATCAGGTTGGTACTTTTACCTGCTGAGTCAGCTTTTTAAAAATTTTGATCTTAGTTTTATTTCATGTATATGATTGTTTTGTCTGCATGTATGTCTGTGCACCACTGTGCCTTCAGAGGTCAAAAGAGGTCATTGGATCCCTGAAACTGGAGTTACAGACAGTTGTGAACTACCATGTGGGTGGTGGGCATGGAACCTGGGTCCTTTGCAAGAACAGCCAGTGTCTTTAATCCCTGAGCCACCATTGAGCCATCTTCCTTGCCTAGTTTAAGGCAATATTATTGGAAGTTTCTCCCTTGTCCTGGGTTCATTTTTAGGGCATCTCTTTGTAGCTAGAAGCCTCTGTGCTTTTTTTGGGGTGGGGGCAGTGTATGGGTTGTTCTATGCAAGGACTCCAGTGTGGGGCAGACACATTAGTCTTGCTAAATTTCCCACACACATTCATGAGGAACTGCAAATTCTTCAAACTACCTAGCTGTAGTCTGTGACTGTCCCTGGAGTTTCAGACCTGAGAGGGGAGGAGTGTGGCCTCACCAGAAGAGCAGTTATCAAAGTTCAGATCTCCACAGATGATGTCAAACACCACCAGCTCCTCCGGGTTGGCTGTGCTGGATGAGGAGGTAGATTTTCGGAAATCAGCTAGCCAGTCCTGAAGCAGGTCCAGCTGCTCACACCGGATGGCACTGTCCTCTACAGATAGGACAGAAACCAGACTATGAAGCTTGACCTGGACACCAGCCAAGGCCCAGGTATTGAACCCATCCCCCAAAAAACTCAGACTGTGGCCTACCTGGTGGGGCATGCAGGTGTGTGCAGGCGATGTACCCAACGATTCTTTGGTCCTGAGGTGTGCTTCCCACCTGCACCTGGGGGAAGGCAGGGTGTCAGTTTTGCTATCAGCCAACCATTGTTGTTCCAGGTGCAAAGGGACCCTGGCAAGATCTAGACCCCTCTGCTCAAGCTCTGGCCATCATGCTCTGTGCCAGGCTCCTGGCTAGACTCTGGGGCCCAGTCTAGTAGAGAGGGCATGCCCTGATTCTAGAAGTGTCTGGCTGGTTCTAGAGGCAGATGTGTAAAGAAACCATCAGCCTATAATGTTACATGGTTGGCCACAATCTGTGCAAGGCTTTATGGGGCAGAAACTCACAAGTCAAAAGCAAGTTCCTCCCTAGTCCCTGGCATCTCCAGGTGACCAGAATATCCACCTACACACTTTCCCGAGTTTTGTTTTGAGACACAATCTTGGTATGTAGCCTGGATGGCCTGGAAATTGTTACATAGATCTGAATGATCTCAAACTTACAGCAGTCCTCCTGCCTCTGGTTCTCAATTGCTGGGATCACAGGTATGTACCATCATACCCAGCCTCACATTCAGTCTTTTTAATATTTGTTTATCATCATTGTAGTTATGTGAGTGTGTGTGTCTGTCCATCCACAGAAGCTAGAATTGGAGCTGTTTAATGTGGGTGCTGTGATTCCTAACTCTGGTGTTCATGATAAAGCTACATGCTCTTAACCATGGAGCCATATTCTTTATCCCCCTTTTAGTCTTTTGTCTACTCCCATTTAATGGCTCTTTCCTTCCTCCTTTGGCCATACTCTCAACCTGACCTATTGACCCTCAAATTTGAAATCAAAGCTAGTACCCACTAGAGGGGCCTTGGACACTGCCAGCCTCCTGCTAGTCTGTCTTTGCCCCATCTGGCTGCATGGTCCATTGCTTCATGAGTTTTTGTTTGTTTGTTTTTCAAGATAGGATTTCTCCATGTAGCCCTGGCTGTCCTGGAACTTCTCTGTAGACTAGGTTGACCTCCAACTCAGAGATTTTGCCTGCCTCGCCTTCCAAGTGCTGGCATTAAAGATGTGCGCTGCCACTGCCCAGTGCTTCATGAGTTTTATAGGAAATGGTTTCCTGTAGTCCCTCAGTCTTTGACCAGAGTCCTGATCAGTGTCCCTGGTTCTGGACCCCTGGCATGGACTGATCTCATCCCAAGTCCAGCTCTCTTTTCACATTAGCCTCTTCACATTCTCACACTTCCACTTCCTCCAAACCTGGCCCTTTCCTTACTAGGGCACAGTTACATTGGGTGGACCTGGCTCAACAAGCAGTTTACTTGGCCAGGTCATCTCTAATGCTGGCTTCATAAAAATGGGCATTTTAATTGTATAGCCCAAAGACAACTCAGCAGCCCCTCATGGGTAACTCAGCACAAGAATGAGCCCTTGTCTGTGCTGTGGCTCTGGAGGTAAGACAGACTACACATCACATCCCCTTCCACAACCTAAGGCCTCTGCCAGGTCCCTTATCACTGTTCAACTGCTGGAGGCCACTCAAGAAGAATCTTTCAATTGCATACTCTTCAGGGACTATTGTGGGCCCCTGTCCTCAGAGGTCTGTCACATCTTCCTATGTGAGCACCAGTTGCCCTCCCCAGATAATTATCCAATCCAGCTGTGTTTCCTGTGTTGATGAACCCCAGACCCAGGCACTTCCCAGAGAGGTAGACCACAGAAGCCAAGGTTCTTGTTCCATCCTGTGGCAAAGGACACAACAGTGCCTCTCAGTCATTGTTCTTTCCTTTTGCTGCTGAAACTGAGTGGGTCTTCTCAGTCCTGTCCCCTGGATTTCTGCAACTCCACCCTCCTCCCCACAGCATGCATGTCTATCCTCAGTGCTTATTGGCGAATGTCTCACTATTTGATAATAGGCTCTCTGACCTGAACTTGGGCTGTTTCTAAACTCACATGTTCAGTTCAGACCCAAGGTGCAGCCATCTGGAACCCCTATTCTGGGAATTAGCCCTGCAAAACCATGGACCACTGATGCATCTTGTTATAAAAGCACATTAAAAAGAATACAGTGCTCAAAGGGGCTTATGACACTGCCAACCTTGTGTTCCTCAGGCAACAGGTTTCTCCCACTATAATCTTCAGCCACAGACACTTCAGCTTAGTATATCCTCACATGCTCATTGTGTACCATTTTATGAATGGATACACCAAGGCTCACAGCATTCAGATGGGAACATGTTAGTCTTGTTGGCCTCCCCGTGCTGCTTGTTGCTCCTTTCTGGGCTGTTGGTGTCCTTGTCAAGATTGTTAACAGCCACCCATTTGTCAGACTCTCCCTTAGTATCACTTGACCCATGCTGAGTTCTGGATGAGGGCAAAGGCATCCCTACTGGCCCTGTTGCCAAGAACCCACTTAGAGAGAAGACACCACAGTAGTAAGGCCACAGTTGCCGCTCTCTTAATAGGTATGTGATCTTGACAGCATCCACTTTATTATTTGCTGGGACTTAGTGATTCCTACGGCATATCCTCAGGACCTGCAGAGTCCTGTGTGTTTCTCTTACAAAAACAAACAATCACACCGAGAGGCTGAGTCCTTTAGTCCTGCTGATACAGAGTATCAGTAAAAAAAAAAAAAAAAAAAAAAAAAAAGGCCCCC